GAAATTAAAATTGTTCATTTTAATAGCAACAACAAATATTTATTTTAGTAGTAATGAAAATAATTTTATGGTTAGGGGTCACCACAACATGAAGAACTGTATTAAAGGGTCGCGGCTTTAGGGAGGTTGAGAACCACTCAACCTCCCTAAAGGGAGGGTCTAAGGTTTCTATTAAATAACAGAAATTTAATAAATTTTCTGATGTCTGCTTTGTATCGATCATTGAAAGTCGTGTGACTCTTTTGAATTAATGGTTTAGCTGTTTTAAAGTCAGGCCAGACAGTGAATATAATAATATTTGTCTTTGTGCTTAAACAATACACTTTTTATAAAGGCTACTTTTCAGAAACCTTTACTGTTACAAAGATTGTATTACATATACTGAGCACTAGGTGGTGCTCATATAAGGCAAAAAGACAGCTTTTGGCATAATCATTTAAAACTCATTTTTCTAAGTAACAAAGTGTAGTACATGTTCATTTTTAATGCTTTTAAATAAAGAAAAGAACAAGGAAGGCACAAAGATAAAAATAATAACCAGGAGTAACTACTATTTTGTTCTGTCTCATATAAAGATGTATTCATTAAACTCTACACATTGTTCCTTTAACTCACGTCTCCCTTATGTTAGTGTTTTCCTACAACATAATTTTAAATGGTTGTAGCGAAGTCTCTCTTATAAATATCTATACTTCATTTAGCTAATGCTGTTGAACACTTTGGTTTTTTTCTTTTTATTATATATAAAGATAAGAATTTTCTTGTAGCCAAGTCTTTGTGCCTATCCCTGTTATGTAAGTAGTACAAGTTCTTTAGTTAATTTGCTGGTAAAATAATCTTTTAAAAAAATTACATAATTAGGGTGGTGCCTGTAGCTCAGTGGATTGGGTGCCAACCCAGGCCAGCTAAAATCAACAGTGACAACTGCAACAAAAAAAAATAGCCTTGCGTTGTGGTGGGTGCCTTTAGTTCCAACTACTTGGGAGCCTGAGGCAAGAGAATAGTTTAAGTCCAGGAGTTTGAGGTTGCTATGAGCTGTGACACCACAACACTCTACCGAGGGTGACATTGTGAGACTGTGTCTCAAAAAAAAAAATAAACAATTACATAATCTTTTGTTGTAGAAAAGTCAGAAAATATAGAAACAAGGAAAAATAATCATGTTTTCTCATCACCCAGAGATAGCTATTGATATTTTGGTATATAGTCTTTCATACTTTTAAAAATTCCAAGTATTT